CGAAAGGTAAATGAGTCTGGAACATGGCTAATAGGATTACTAATAAAACTTGAAACTGGATGTTATATTAAAATGTAGTATTGCAGAGGTTCATAGAGGAGGTCATGGAACTTGTAGAGCTAAAACCTCTTAGAGAAGCACTTGTTGGATTACCTGGAGTGAATGGTCTTTCAACTGAACAACGAAAACGACTTACAGTTGCAGTTGAACTAGTTGCCAATCCTTCTATAATATTCATGGATGAGCCAACCTCTGGATTAGATGCTAGAGCAGCTGCAATAGTGATGAGAACAGTCAGAAACACTGTAGATACAGGTCGAACAGTAGTATGCACCATTCATCAGCCTAGCATTGACATATTTGACGCTTTCGATGAGGTGAGCAACAGTCCGTCTTGCATAATCTAGAAATTTAACATAAAATTGTTTTAGAAAAAGTGATTCTCATTCTACTAATGAATTGCAGCTCCTACTCCTGAAACGAGGAGGCGAAGAAATATTTGTCGGCCCATTAGGACGCCATTCTTCTCACCTTATTAAGTATTTTGAGGTAAGGGAACTGTTAGGTAAAGAAACTGGAATTCCTATTATGTTGGTCCAGTGCACAAAGTAATGGTTCTGTTTCCATATGCCTCAGGGAATCGACGGAGTTCTGAAAATCAAAGATGGTTACAATCCAGCAACATGGATGTTGGACATAACTTCAGTAGCACAAGAAGCAGCTCTTGGAATTGACTTTACTGAATTGTACAGGAACTCAGAATTGTATAGGTATGAATCATCAAGTTGAGCACAATGACATTCTATGTAAAGAATTACAAAAATATATATTCTTGAATTCTGAAGTGGAGCAAATATTCAGGAGAAACAAAGCTTTAATCCAGGAACTAAGTGTGCCAGCCCCAGGTTCAAAAGACCTCTACTTTGAAACCAAGTATTCTCAGTCTTTCTTCACACAATCCATGGCTTGCTTCTGGAAACAGCACTGGTCATACTGGCGAAATCCTCCTTACACAGCAGTCAGGCTCATGTTTACATTCTTCATTGCTCTCATGTTTGGAACCATATTTTGGGATCTTGGCTCCAAAAGGTAAACAGAAACATACATGAACTGTTTTTTTTTATTCACAAGTCTTAATGTTTTTGAACCCAATTTCAGGAGAAGGCAACAAGATATTTTGAATGCAATAGGTTCAATGTATGCTGCTGTCTTGTTTCTTGGTGTACAAAATGCTACGTCAGTGCAGCCAGTGGTTGCTATTGAGAGGACAGTTTTCTACAGGGAAAGAGCTGCTGGGATGTATTCAGCTCTGCCTTATGCATTTGGACAGGTATACATCAAAACCACTCTAATGTTGACACCACTTGTATTAGCTATGCTCATCGGATGATTCTTTTTTTAAGCAGATTATGATTGAGCTGCCATACATTTTCATCCAGACAATCATCTATGGTGTTATAGTCTATGCGATGATCGGATTTGAATGGACAGTTGCCAAGTTCATTTGGTATCTGTTCTTCATGTACTTCACCTTGTTATACTTCACATTATACGGGATGATGACTGTAGCCGTTACTCCTAATCACAGCATTGCAGCCATCATTTCATCTGCATTTTATGCAGTATGGAATCTTTTCAGTGGATTCATTGTTCCAAAAACAGTAAGTATTACCTTCAACACAACATGTTTGGACTAAACTTTTCGTCAAAAAGCATGACCAACCTAACAATTTTCTCTCTTCTTTTTTTGTTTTTTTGACAGAGAATGCCAGTGTGGTGGAGATGGTACTTTTATATTTGCCCAATTTCGTGGACATTATACGGACTAGTTGCCTCACAATTTGGAGACTTACAAGACAAATTGGAAACAAAAGAGACAGTGGAAGAATTCATAGAGAGTTTCTTTGATTTCAAATACGATTTTGTGGGATATGTTGCATTGATTCTTGTTGGAATATCAGTTGGCTTTCTCTTCATTTTTGCTTACTCAATCAAAGCATTTAACTTCCAGAAAAGATAGGGGTTGGTTCTGGTGTCAAGAAATGTGTATATTAATTAGGACAATAAATATAATAGAATCTCAATTTTGGAATAGTAAAGTTTGTTTCAGAATAACTTGTACACATTGTTATATATATGAAAAAAGTTTTGAGTTTCTTTTGTAACACATATCAATACAATATATATTCTTAATTTAGTTACTTGTTACTACTTCTACAACTTCAATAATAAACTATAGCTACGAACTTGCTTTTGTGAACAAATAGTACCTTCCTTCATTGTATTTCAGGTGAAAATCTAGTTAGGAAATTATTCTTGTGGAGGTAAATTCGCGAGTGTTATGACCGAAAACACTCTTTAATCGTGCCTCAAAGTTAAAACATCCTTGTTGATTACCGCACGTATTCTTGAAATATCTAAAATTTAAGACATAAATACATAAAAGTATCCTTTAATTTGGTCTCACCAGACATAGTAGACGTTTACACATGTATAAAAATGAGTCTAACATCAAAATTTCTCTCGCACGTATTTAGGGCTTTAAGAGAAGAAGAGATTTGTATTTGAGAAAATGCTTTTATTTTATTTTTTCATGTTTTCAACAGTCAAATTTTTTAGTCCGCTCAATTTAGAATATTAGGGACCAATTATTGATAATATTAGGGACCATAATTGTCCTTCGTCCAACAATTTTGGACCCAAGTACAATCTGGTCCTTACAACTTACAAGTATGTTTTAAGGTATCAGATTTTTGACTTAATCGACTTATTTCAAGAATTTTAGTTTGACCACGGCTTTTCCTTTTTTTTGCATAAGCTCAACAATTAAGATGCATGATTGATGCATCTTTTTTCTTTTTCCAAATGATTTGTGCCGTCTCTGACTCCCTTCGTGGGGAGTGGGCCGTTAAGGGGGATTTTGTTTTTGAAACAAACGACTTTGTTCTTCTACTAAATGTTGGTCATTTATAAGCCTCTTTCTTATAGTGTCACGTTAATGATATTACTGTTTTGATGTAAATTGTTGGCTTTTGGTGTCGAATACTATAAAAGAGATTTATTTTATGTGCAGCTAATGAATATGTTTTTAGAAATTAGTGTGACGTAGTCATTGTGTCTCGTGGGAGAATCCAAATCATTTCTTTAAAGAGTACAATTCAAAATCAAGCCATAGCAACGTATTTGTAATTTTTTAAAGGCCTTAATGTATCAGACTCATTGGATTCTGTGGAACATATGGTTATTTGCCAAGGTTTTAAGTTACCTTCAAGGGGCAAATATGTCCAAACGTAAATTTGTATATTAATAAAATTAGGTTAAGAGAATTGTTACAAGAAAATTAGAAAAGTAAGTGCAATATTGTAAACCATAACAAAAATATAAGTATCGTATAGAGTTAAATCAAAACTTAATTATTACGATGGAAGAGTTTGATTAATATATATTACTATAATAATGCATATAAAAGTAAACATTGGCTGGTGAAAATTGTTAGGAACAATGAATTTAATAGTTTAATAAGTGCAACAAATTAATGAAAATGATAGGCATCTTCTAATATTGTAGTTGTCTTAGAAGAAAAAACAATTTACGCAACGAATTCCTCTCCCAAATTTTTGGAGCTACACTTGCTACGGTAAATAAACGTGAGATTCTATTTTTTGAAAGATACTTTATTTTCTTTCTAATGATGATAGATTAACATTGTAGGAGTACATATTATTTTATACTTTCTCTGTTCACAATTGTTTGACAGAAAAATAAATGTCTAAGATTAATTGTCAATTTAAACATTTAAGAAGTAATTAGTTTTTTTTTTCATTTATGTCCTTAATAATTACTCCATTTTGTTCAATTGAAAAGTTAAGTAGACTTTTGTTATTCTTGGTATAGTATGGTTATATTAGTCAAATTACACCTTATATTAAATTGTCCTTAAGGAAAGTGCATGACAAACAATTGTAGATGGAGAGAGTACTTTATTTGTCTCAATTTATGTGAAACATTTGAAATTTCAAAAAACAATCAAATTTTCTTTTATCTGAATTTATATACTCTTTAAATACTTTATATCAATAATTATTATAATTTATAATGATTTTTTTTACATTTTTGATTGAATATGTCGTCAAAGTTTGAAGCTCAAAAATTTAATTACGCAAAATAAAATGAGACAAAAAAAATAATTTTCTAGATGAAATTTTATAAAAATGATTGAGTACTATTCAATCCGTCAAAGTTTTAGGTGGCTTGTGTAATGCGTGCAAGCAATTGGTATAGGAAGATTATAAAAAGTGTAGTTTTCATATGTTTGTTCGTATCAACTTTAAAATCAAACACGCAAAAAAGTTTTGAAATAAGAATCACAAGCTGACACGCAAGAATATTTGGACTAATGCACAAATTTTATCAATATTTTCTTTAGCTACAAAAACTATTTTGGAGTTTTAAATAGTTTATTTAAGTCATTCCGTTATTAATATTTGGTTATAAATTTAAAAAAATTGTGTCTTTTATGTAATGTAATTTATATTTTCACAATGAACTTGTTCTATCACTTAGGTATTATTTTCCTTGTTCATTTTTATGTATATAATATATATTGAGTTAACACATTCCTTAATGAATGCCATATAAAGTCATAATATTACATTATCATTCGTTTGAATATAATAAACGCAATGATTAGAAAAATCACTATAGTGAACTTACTCTTTTCTTTATTGTTTCTAAATGATGAAGTGCTATAATTTAAAATTTCAAAAAAATGATACTCCATTTGTTTAATTAGAGTCACCTCAAGGATGTTTATGGAAACAATGAAACTAATAAATTTAATACTATCTTCAAATTGATTGAAACAAACCAAAAGGGTCCCACACCACGTGTCAAGAAAAGAAGGGAAATTAGGCACCTTGTGAGTTAGCGTAAACTGACCAATGACTCCACCAACCACTAACCCTCATTTTCAACAATAAAAGAAGTACAAAATTATAAATATCCTAACTATTGAAGATAGTACCACTAACAAAAAGGAAAAACAAAACTAATACCAATTGTACTACTACTCTTTGTAGTTTCCTCTTCATTTGTTTTTGAGAAAGAAAAAAAATCTAAAAAAGTATAGAAATGGCTATTTCAACAAAGTTCTGCCTCAATCTCTCCCCTCAACCTCCTCCTACTTCTAATTATAATAACTCAATTCCCCCACCTTCAAAAAAAACTCAACTTTCTTGGTAAGTCTACTACTACTTTTTACATTTTTTTTTATTTATCATACTTTGCTTTTCGTTTTTGGATGTTTGTCTATGTTAAAAGTCGTGTGCATCATGTCCATATCTATTCATCCATTTCAATTTATGTGATATTATATATGTTCATTCATCTGTTTCATTTTATACGACATTATATATATATATATATATATATATATACATTCAATTGTTTCACTTTATATGATTAAATTTTTTATTAATTTAAACTACTATTTTCATTTTTTTTCGCAGGCAACGAAAAGAAAAATCATGGAAAAATCAATGTGTATTAGGAATGGCATGTGTTGTAATTATTGGATTAGAATTTGACGATTCAATTTTAGTTAATCAAGAAAGTACGATCGCGATCGCCGGAGACATGCAATTACAATATGTCGCCGGAAAATCAATACAAAAATGGAGTGAAAAAAGATCATGCCCACCGTGGAACGTGAACTCGTTAGAAACCATCGTGCCGGAAAACTTACCGAGGCCGGTGACTCGCCGGAGATGGGAAAACGTTGATTATAATACTACTACTCAATCTGCACCTGAAGTAAAGTTGGTGACAAAATTTAGTAAAGGATGTTTCACTATGTGAACATAGTAATTAAAAGTTTAATGTGTATATATAGATACGGAGTTCAACTGAATTCCCTTAGTCGATAATAGGACAAAAATATTTTTCCTGTTTTATATGAACATGTGAAGTCCATGACATAATAAAACATATAGTCTAGTTATAATTTGTATAATGTTATTTTAGGTCGTAAGTTTAAATTCTATTCTCTTCGTCTAGAATTATTTATCATGTTACGCTTTTCAAAAGTCAATTTGACTAATTTTTAAAGTTAAATTAGATCACATTAATTCAATATTTCAAACAAAAAAAATTTAGATATTCTAAAACTATATGAAAAATACTACAAATTGCAATTTTTTTGCATATTAATATGATGAAAAAATATGTCTTAAAATATTAGTCAAAGTTTTTATAGTTTTGACTCTAAAACTAGAAATCATGACAGACATTACTGAACGAAGAAAGTACTGTCATGACATTTTATGAAATCCATCACAACAGATAACTAGTTAATTAATTACTACAAATCAACAAGGATTGTGATGAAATGATAAATATTTTTTTATCCTTAATAAAAATATCTCTAGTTTAGAGGGTGCCTTTGTTTGGATTTTGAAAGCCCTCAATGTGGGATTTTTTATAGGCTTGAAGGGTTTTGTTGAGGTTATTTTTGCGTTAGATTATATTATTTATATATTATTAAAATTAATTTTTTGCAGGCATATAAAATTTATAAATTCATTTTAGTAAATTTCCAACTTAAGGAGTTCTTTTGAATCCTTTTTAGCATAAATTATATTATTTATATATAATTAAATTTTTATTTCTTTAATGCTTATAAAAATTTTGAATTGATTTTATTAGAAATGTAGTAGTACATGATCGATAGTTTTTATTAGTACATGAAGTACAAGGATATGAATTAATTTATAATCAGGAGGCCCACTTTACGTGGCGTCGACATCAGCTCATAACCAAAAGCATCGAACCAATTGAACGATGAATTCTGTCAAAATGATATACTTCTTCATTTTGTCATTTAAAATTAATATATATTTCGTTATATAGTGATTTATGTATATATTTCTGTTGCATTCTGTCAAAATGATATACTTTTTTATTTTGTCATTTAAAATTAATATATATTTCGTTATATAGTGATTTATGTATATATTTCTGTTGCATAAATGTTTTATATATAATTTTTTCATCTCACCAAAGCAAGAAATTATTTTTTTTATAAAAAAAAAACATGATCAATTTAGGAATATATCTAATTTTTCAAACACATGAATTCAACGGTCAATTGTATATGAATTAGAAAGCTAGTTGAGTATGTTTATATTTTTTAGAAAAGTAATATGTTTTGATATATATTTAATTTTGCTATCAGAAACTCCTTATTTTAGCATTTTATGTGATAGCGATAATTCTTGATTTATGATGTTAAATCATATTTATTGTAGATTATTTAATTTAATTAATGATCGTATATTTAGAATATTTTACTCGTTTACTAGAAGTATTTAATCTTCTTTAATAATTATTATGGCTAGTAATGGTAATTTCAATCCATATATGTTTGATCTTTCTATTTTAATTCGCTTATATTTAACTCGATAATTTTCAAAATAAGTAAATATATGTTAATTACTTTCACTCTGCAATGAAATTGATAATAATGGGTCTAATGCGGGTCAAATATGAATTCAATGTGGTCTAAATTTAATTTGGTTTGGAGCTGATTCAGATTGTAAGTGTATTAACTAGAGACTTGACTATCCTAAATAAATTTTTAAATAAGAGAGTTGAATTTTTGGCTTAAGTAAAATCCAATATAAATAAAATATTAATAATGTAGTTAAATATTTGTCGAATAAAAAATATTTTATTTATTTCATGATAGACTAAAAATGGAAATGTCTTATATAGTAGGTATAAAGAGGGGATAAAGCACAATGTATGAAAATAATACTAGTAAAATTTAAATAGTTGAAACTTAATGTTGTCAATATTTATGTCACTATACGAGTAAATGACTTAATGAATAATCGGAGAAAAAAAAATCTTAATGAATAACATAATTTGATTAATGTGTCATCCTATCAGTTTTGACATACTCTAACCCCAAAAGAAAACGATTTGAAATATTTTTTTTTAACCTTAAGATTCTCCGCAATCGTTATAATCTTTGTTCTGTTCTTTGGGAGAACATTCTATGATAAACACTTTGTGTGCAATGCGTAAATTCTCCTACTATGTGGGGATTGACAATAACCACTCTTCAAACCAACTAAGTCATTCTGAAGGACTGTTTTTAAAATATTTTTATACCACAATGTGAAGCTATATGTGAACTACAATTTTTTGGTAGCATATAATATTTTATTATTAAAATAAAATATTAAATGCATATGTTAATAGATATAAATTGCTTTAGAGCCTAGAGGTTACAAGATACGTTGTAAACAAAATACTAAATACATATGTTAATGGAGTCCACTTTTTTTTTAAAAAAAAAATGTCTTATTTTAATAATTTTTTTAATTTTATTTTTTTGACACATGTTTAAGATGACAAATGATATTTTCGTACATTCTACTTATCTATAACTAAAAATCATGAAAATAAAAAAGAAAATTTCTTAAAATTTCATACCATATCAAGATTAGATAAGAAAGAAAATCATCGAAAGTAAATTAAAGAAGAAGAAGAAGAATTGGAGATGCAAACGATATTTAGTCATAAAAGATGTTCTAAAACATGAGATTTATATATCTCAATTAGGTTTTTACCATCAACACATAAGCATCTACCTTATTTTCCAATCTAATAAATTTATTCAACATTGACATATTGGAAAGCACCACCAATTACAAAGACGAGGGAACAATCTTCTGTTTTGCATAGTCCCAAGAGGAGATTTGACAATTTTATCTTCATTTACAACATCAAAATGCCCCTTCACTTTTGAATCTTCAAATGAAGAGTCACCAAAGTTAGAGCACACGAAAAGAACAAGGAAGAAAAAAACTATAATCATAGCCTTCATAGTCTTCATGTTTTAATATATTTTATATCTGGTGAACATATCATATATGAGACATCTATTTATAGTTGGAAGAGTTAGGACAAGGACAAACTTTTTTTTGTTTTAATAATATTAAAATTGACCTGACTGGTCCTTTAGTCAGAATGGTAAAAGTACATGTTCACATTATAAATTAGTTTGTTTTTGAACGTTTTTGCCATTTAATTCAATTATTGAATATACTCTTCGATTATATTTCCAATACATTGAAAATAATGGATGATATTAATCATTTATGATTTCATGTTAAATATTAAAAATGAACCACAAAATCCACCAAACAAAAAATAAGTTTCACCACTCTTCTCTCTTGAAATTTTTAAAAATATATATAAAAACAATTGTTTTTACACAAAAAAAAAAAAAATTAAAATGTAAGCATAGTAGTAAAAAACTTAATAAAAAATAGTAAAAATTATCTCTTTTTTCGTTTCAAAATTCCTCCTTTTTACTTATTTTTTTTGTTTATTTATTTTCTATTTTTTAATGATAAAAAAAGAATTTTAAAAGTATAAAATAGGAGTAAAGTGCAGATGATCTATTTTAATTTATTATTTATGATGTAGAAAAGATAAACTATAACTAAATTTAAATATTAAAAATTATAATTATAATATTCAAAATTAGAAATCTAAAATTGATCTGTTGGCAAAATAAGTACTCCAATCTATTTAAAGGAGTTGTTGCTATGCATTAAATTTCTAGAAAGATGTTAAATAATAAAAATATATTTTATCTTATTATATTTAGAATGTATGTGAGCGAAATATGAAGAAAATTGAAACTACAATAATGCTTATCCTATTATGTAATTGTCTTTCTATCATCAATCATATATGAATTATATCATACACAAATAAAGACTCATTCAAATTAATTTTTTTATTTGAGTACAAGAGACGTATACAAGTATTTTTTGGATAGAAATGTTGAGGTCGCTTCATTGAAAAATTATAATAATACGGAACGGATATAGAAAGTTCTTAATCACTTCAAAATAATTTTTTACAAAAAAAAATTAAAAGAAAAACATCTTCAATAATTTTCCGATAATAATGACAACACAAATCTGTTAAGCATGAATTGTTAAAGTTTCATAACATATATATTTTTCTTTATTAGTTTTATTTGTTGTTTTATTAAAAATTTATTGGCTTAAGTCATATACGATTTTCTAAAGTTGTCTGCATATTTTATTTAAACACCTTAAATTTAATTTGTATCTATTAAATAGTTTAACCTTAAGAAATTTTTACGTATTTGACATTAACCGACAAACAGTTTGAAAAATAAAAATGTGTATCTTAAACACTAAAACAAAATTGATTTACCAATAAAACATTGACATGTGGTATTTGTATTTAACTTTTTTTAAAACCTTATTTAAATAATCAAAAAAGTATTTTAAAAAATTAAAAAAGGTTTTTTTTTAATTAACCCCCCCCCTCCCCCCACCTCCCTCCCTTTCCCTTCTTGATAGATCCAATATTAAAAAAGGTTTTTTTTAATATTGCTATCCACTCAAGCTAAAGACTCAATTCTCCTCATTTTAATAGCATGAAAATCTTTTACTCTCTTCATCTTCTATCCATTAGTAATTATTTATTAGAATTGAAAAAAATAATAATAAACTTAAACCAAAAAAAATAATTTATATTTTTTATGTAATAAATTAAGCTTTCATCGAGATATTTGAAATGTAAATTAATGCATGTAAAAAGGGAAATAAGAAGAAGAATGGCAGAGGGTACGAGAAAGAGAGGTGGAGGGGGTGGGGTGGGGTTGCAGGGATGGAAAGAAGAGGACTACTCCTTTTTTCTTTTTAATTAATTATTTTTTTTCTTTTTAATTAATTCAGGTGCATAAGTTAAGAAAAAAATTAATATTTTTTGATGACTTAACCCACTTAAAGAAAGTGAAACATACGTTTTTTGTCATGTCAGTATTTTATGTCCAATAGAAATGATTTTACAAAAAAGTGTTCAATTGACACAAGAATAAATTGAATTGTCTAAATGAATTATGCGGATAACTTTAGATAGTCGGAGATGACTTAAGCCAAAAATGTTTGTCATAAAATTATATGTTAAAATATATTAAGTTTGCATAGTTATAGTCAAATATTAATATAATTTTTTTTCTAAAATTAATATTTTTTTTAAAACTTATTATGAATTTTAAAATTACGTAATTTTATTGTATTTATTATATAAATAAATTTAAATTACGTTTTACATAAATTTTTTTAAATATAATGTAAAATCGTTTAAAAATAACAATCAAAACTTAAAACACTCTAGTTCAGTCAAAACTTAAAACACTCTAGTTCATATGTATCAACCATGGATAACAAACTAGAGAGCCAAGCATTGATATTGCAATCTTGTGCTTCTGTGTTATGCCAATTTGATGATTTGAGAATCATTGCTTATATTTGTTACTAATATGAGCTCTAATTAGGTAATTGTAGTAATTATTATGTCTTAAAATATAAAGCTATGCATAAAATTAAAAAAATAATTTGAAATATTTCAATAACGACAATCAAAACTCAAAACACTTTAGAATTAATAGATCTACATATTGTTGAAACTTAAAATCATATGGTTCATAAGCGATGATCCTATTTAACAATTAAAGATAGTTATACATAATATTGTAGTTTTTGCATATTTGCTAATTATTATGTTTTAAAAAATTAAACTACATCCTTAAATAATTAAGTGATATCCCTAGTTAACAACGAGCTAAAAGTATTCCAAAAAAAAAAACTAACATTTATTTTAAAAGGAAATAAATTAAGAATAATATTGACGTTAAAATTATATTCAAGAGGAAAATGCTAATATTAAATTATTTATAACTAAAATAAATATTTGAGTTATATGATGCCATTAATTCGAAGTTTTAGTGACAAATATAAAATAATGATTTACAATTTATTAAATCGATATAATAAAAAAGATAAAAAATTATCAGACAATTTTGTTCTTTACACAAATGTTTTCAATTTATACTATAGAATCCAATGATAAAATCAAGAATAAGAGTATGAAAGTAAAAAGAAAAATAATTTTCATAGTACACTAAATTTTTATATTACTATTTTTGCCACTTTACAATATTTTGTTTATAAGTTATTCAATATTTTCCCTATTTATTTTAGGAGAATAAAGTTACGGGAATTTAGAATTATACTCGAAATTACAAAGGTTTTTCTAAATATTTAAATTCTTCCTTTAATGTATTTTCCCTTTATTTTAAATTAAAAGGTTAATATAATCTTTATATATTTCAAGCCAAATTTTAGCCACATTTTTCTAGCTGTTTAGCATTTATTTGTTTTTTACTTAATATGGTGCGTCACATTAATGACATCTTTAGGATAAAAAAGACACTTCAGCTAAACAAATGGATTTATCATCTGTGACTTAATTCAATGGATTAGCCAAACAAAATTGGACCATTTATAATATATATATTTATTAATTGGAAAAATTACATAAATACTACTAGCAAATATAGTTTACAACTATATTTGCTAGTATTTATGTATACTATAAAAGCAACCTATTTCCTAGTATTTATTTATGGTATATACAAGTAACTTATTTGTTAGTATTTATAAGAGAAACTATTTCGAATATATACTATAAAAAATTTAATTTAATTTTTATTTTTTAAAATTAAAATTTACAATAAATTTTATACCTTTTTTGGAAGGCTTATATATGTGTGAGAAATAGCCAATGAACTTCCGTCTATTTTTTTTCTTACAAAAATCAATGACAACCCGACGAAGTTTATCAACTTTTAGCATTTTGAGTGGTGTTATTAGCAATGAACAAGAGCCTTTATCAAGTTGACGATGAGATTATATTTAATTCGTATTGAGTTGAACTAAAATATTAGAAGTTGAGTATTTTTCGTAAATTCAGATAGTCAGAATGATATGATATACATGGTGTTATTTGATTTTGTTGAATGTTAATGAAAGAAAATCAAAGCAATTTCATCAGTTATTTATCATAATACAGAGAAAATCTCAAAATAAATAAATAATTAAGAAAATTGATATTTGTTCATTAATTTTTATTTTCTTTATTGAAAATTAATGGACACATTGATTTTCAAAAAACAAAGCTGAAATTGAAGAATATAAATAAAAATAAAGAAATCACAAAAAATATTTTTTTAAATAGTACATAAAAATAGAGTTTAAGAGTTAAAACGGAACAATGCTAAGATAGAGTGTCAAAATTAAAAATGGGGCAAATTTAAGAGATTTGTTTATGTGTTTGGTCAAACTACGAGGATATTTATGAATCTTTTCCATATATGAGATACATTTATGAATCCTTTTCTATTTCAAAAATAAATCAATTTGAATCAATCACTGTAATTAACTAGAAAAAAATTAATTGAATACGAATTGAATTGGTTTTCAAATTTATGTAGGTTTGGATCTGATGGTTTCATATTGCAAGTGTATTAATTAGAAGTACTACATATTCTAAAAAATAACTATTACCATCTCATCTTATGATTTTTTGGTATATTCTATATATATAATCATAACTTTGTGCCAAATTAGAAAATAAGACGAACGAATTAAAATAAAAAATATATATATTCTTATAAAAAATAAAATAAGAATTGGAGATGCAAAAGGTGTTTAGCCATAAATCATAATATATTTCAACACAAAAGATTATACATCTCATTTAGCTTTTTACCATAAACACATATGCATCTGATCAATAGTTGTCCAATAAAATATGTCTAATAAATTTATTTATGAGCACATCGACATAAAGGATAGCACCACCACCAACAAACAAACAGTCTTCTATTTTGCATAGTCCCAAGAGGAAATTTGGCAATTTTATCTTCTTTTACAACATCAAAATGCCTCTTCACTTTTGAATCTTCAAATGAAGAATCACCAAAGTTAGAGCATACAGAAAAAACAAGGAAGAAAATAACTATAATAGTTGCTTTCATGGTCTTCATGTTTCAATATTGCTAATTAGTTTAGAGCTAGTGAATATGTTATATATGAGACACCTATTTATAGTAATAGGATGAAAGAAATTGGGATTATAATTTTTATTTTTGACTAAATTAACGAAGTTGGACTATTTATTTAATTTAATTTATTTATTGGAAAATTTACATAAATACTAGCGAATAAGTTCAAAACTCAAGATCTATAACTATTTTTTAAAACTTAATCTAATATATATATATATATATATATATATATATAATTTTTTCCGTTTTGTTGAGGCATGATGAGAGAGGGCGGCTCCATGTCGTTGTTGTTCTGAAGAAAATGGAGGCGGACCATATTACTATTTTTGTTGTTACGGTATATATATATATATATATATATAAATGAGTAAATGAGAAATACTTTAGATAGATTTAGTTGAACATGTTATATATGAAAAATCTATTTAGAGTAACAGGATGAAAGAATTGGGATTAGAACAATTTTTTTTTACTAAATTAACAAAATTGGACTATTTATTTAATTTAATTTATTAATTAGAAAAGTTACATAATACAAGCGAATAAGTTAAAACTCAAGATCTACAACTATTTTTTAAAACTTAATCTAATATATATATATATATATATGTATGTATATATGAGTAAATGAGAAATACTTTAGTTAGATCTAGTGAACATGTTATATATAAGACACCTATTTATAGTAATAGGATGAAAGAATTGGAATTAGAACAATTCTTTTTGACTAATTTAACAAAATTGGACTATTTATTTAATTTAATTTATTAATTGGAAAATTTACATAAATACTAGCGAATAAGTTAAAAACTCAAGATCTACAACTATTTTTTAAAACTTAATCTAATATATATATATATATATTTTATAAATGAGTAAATGAGAAATACTTTAGATAGATCTAGTGAACGTGTTATATATGAGACACCTATTTATAGTAATAGAATGAAAGATTGGAATTAGAACAATTTTTTTTGACTAATTTAACAAAATTGGACTATTTATTTAATTTAATTTATTAATTGGAAAATTTATATGAATACTAGCGAATAAGTTTTTTTTTTTAACAACCATCATGCTATATTAATGCATAGAAAGGTTCAAGGAGTTAAAGAATGCAATTGCATCATTTACAATCTATCTAGGGAAAGTAGAAAGCCAAACAACTTTGTGTACTAACAAAATAGAAAATTTTGCTAAATTATGCGCTACTAAATTTCAAGACTTTTGAATATACACAACATTAACCACTTCAAAGTACTTCATAAAGTTCCAAATATCTTTACAAGTAGTCTCTATCTCCCATGAGACTATAGTTCATTGTAGTACCATATCCACCACATTTTTTTTTTGCGTCTGATGAGATTTGCACCTTTGACCACCCCTTTTCTCTAGCATTTTCCATCGCCATACGAATCGCAATCGCTTCAGCAGTGATGACTTTCCCAACATATTGAATCGGGGTGCCAAAAGCATGAAGCAGGTTACCATAGCTATCCGTAGCCGCCACATCAATGCTTGCAGTCTTCTTTTCCTTATGTACACTAGCATCTACAAACATAACAATACCATCTTGTGCCACAGTTAGATTTCTATCATCATTACAAGAATGTATAACTCTAGGGGGAGATGGAGGGATCAAATTGCTTTCATACTCATGAAAATAAAAAAGATCTTTGTTAACAATATCCTTAGGACCAACAACTTCTCCATTAAAACTCTTTGAGTTTCTAGCCTTCCAAATTTTCCACATAATGAAAAAACTTAATTTAATCAATTCTATAGAGTTGGGATATTTTTTAACATTTGTAAAAAGATCATTCCACCAACCAGCAAAATCCCCTTTATATTCTAAGCTAGGCCAATTAATGGGGCAAATTTTTCAAACTAATTGAGCACTGGGACACCTAAACAGCATGCGATCAATCGTTTCATTCTCAAATCCACAATCCTTACACACTCCACAAATATGCCTCAGTATCCTAGCAATTTTGTGGTTGATGTTGACACCCAATTTTGGCTTAAGATTTTCAAAAATTCGTAATTTTTTGCCACAATACTAAGCCCGTCATTTGAACCGATTTTGAGTTTTTATTTAAGTTGGTAACTAGGTCAAAAGGGGGAAAAAGAATTTTTCAGAAAAAAAAAGGGGAGCCGCAGCCCCCCTCTTCTCTCTTCCTCCCAACAGCCGCCTCCAGCCCCTTCCCTTCTCCCTCACAGCCCCCTTTCCTCTTCCTCTCCCTTCCTTCCCTCACAGCCTCCACCTCCCCTACCTCTATCTTCTCTGCCTCCTTTTTCTTCACGTTCGGACCAGCAAAGCGTAGCTGGCAGCTGCAATCTCCGGCAACAGCTACAAACAGAGGGAGTGTACATCAAAACTCACTTGGCAGCAGCTCCATCCGGCAAACAGCCGCCTCTCATCTTCTTCCCCTCTCCTCTCCCGTCGCTCCACCTTCAGCCTCCCCTTTCTCTCTTTCCCCCTCTTCTCTCCTCATCCTCTCATCTCCTCCCTTCTCCTTGCTGCCTCCCTCTCGTTGTCCAGCAATAGCGAGGCAAGCAACGCAGCAGCAACAGTTCGGCGATGGACCAGCAACAGCTTCCAACAACTCCGGACGGCAGCAGCAGCTTCGACGAGAACCAGCAGCAACAACGAAGCCAGCAACCAAACGACGCAGCAGCGACCAGCGCCTCCCATCAGCAACCAGAAGCCGCCGGCTGACTGCAACAACGCGCAACCGGCAACGCAGGCAGCAACCTCAACCAACACCAGCAGCGATGGAGGCTGCTCTGACCGGCTTTCTCCGTCCAGCGAGGTATTCGACAAGCTTTTAGCTCCGAGCTTTGATGGGACAATCAGAATTCTATCAGACCCAAATCGTGACTCCGACAGCAACGAACTCTCAGATCTGCTTGGGAAAGTAACGACATGGTAACCCTTTTAAATTTTATATTTTTTTAAAATATATATCTATTGCTTATGAATATTGATTTGAATTTTATTATTTGTCTAGTGTATGAAGTTATTTTTATTTGTAGATAAATATTGATGTTATTTGTAGATAAAATATAATAGTGGCTTGTTTCCTTTTCATTCCTATAAAGTGATATACATGTTGGCTTTAATAATAAACTAAATGATGGCTTAATAATAAACTAAATGATAGGTTATATGCTCTTTTTAATTTTTCATTTCATATTGTTATGATCTTTGTTTAGCCTTTTGGTTTAACTGTTTGATAGTTAGAAAATTTGAGATAATTTGGTTACATATGTCTATCTTAACTTTGTTTGGTTATATTTAACATAGTTTAAATAGTTTAATTCCATTTGTCTCTTGTTTTTGTTTTGACCACGTTTATTTGAAAACTTGTTACTGCAAATTTTACATTTTCCTCTACTTTTTAAACTATTTGTCTTTATTTCGAAGTATTGTTATTTATGAATTTTGAAATATATTAAAGTGTTATCCTAGTTTGCGTTTTATGCTAGTCAATTTTACATATACCATTGTCTTGTTGATTATTTTCGATTCTTTAGATTTTAGTTATTTTGTGCCCGATGAAAAATCTATCCGTCGGATTTAGAGGCCTTCCCATTTTAAAAAGACGGAATTTTAATTCAAATTTATGTATTTTATATGTTGAAATGGCCGATGAAAAATCTATCCGTCGGGTTTAGAGGCCTCCCCATTTTAAAAGACAGAATTTTAATTCAAGTTTATATATTCTAAATTGTTAAATTGGCCAATGAGAAAACTCTCCGTCGATTTTGGAGGCTTTTCCATTTTCATAGACGGAAATATAATTCAAGTTTATATATAATTTTAGCAGTTGGAATTGACCGATGAAGAAATTACCGTCGATTTCCAAGGCTTCCCGTGTTAATAAGATGGATTTTTATTTTTATGTTATTAATTGAGTTATTTATTTTTATTTATATTTATTTGGTACTAACTCTTTTACTAAGTGTCTTTACAGGTACCCGGAGATGTTTCTCCTTGAATTATTCGAATGAAGTTCGAATCGTACTTTGTTTCATTATTATTATGTGAATATTGACGTTAGACAAACCTTAGGCCGATAATTATTATTTTATTTTATTGTGTATATCGTGTGTTTTTTTTGTATGTGTTTATTTTACATTCTTCCTCAATTTGAAAGAAAAAAATGAATTCAGTCGGGAACCACATTTGTGGATTCTGAAGGGTGCCTAATCCCTTCCCTTCGGAATAACTTGAACCCCTTACCTAGAATCGAATTGGTTTCGTAAATTATTTAATAGGTTTCCTAGTTTTCCTAAAATTAGGTGGCGACTCTTTTTTAAAACTCGTTTATTTTTAAAACTTTGTTAAAATTGAACAATTAATTAATTTTTGAGTTGCCGCGACGTTTCGCCCTATTTTGACAGAGTAGGGATGTAAACAATTGACCGGTAAAACATTCAAAATGCATTTTTGAATAAAGTGTTTATACTTGTTTTTAATATTCATAGACCATAAAAACTTTCAGAATTCTTTTGAGAAAGATTGATTATTAGATTGGGCTCTCTCATTACTCACTTGTTCACACCTAATTATTTATGTCGTTAAGTGGTATCCTGATTTAACCGCATACTTTCCAGACTTTGTATGGTTTAAAATAATCTCATCGACTTTGGTTGAAATAGGTATAGAGACTATTGTATGGAAATCATTTGGGCAGAAATACTTCTGAAGATCATCCAATTTCCATGTATGGGTATTTTTCTCAATAAGATCTTTCACTCTCAACTCGACATCTATTTGAGCGAGCATCTAACTAGGTTTGATTCCACTAGAGTTAGGAATCCAAGGATCTGTCCACACTTTAATACAATCTCCAGAGCCTAACCTCTATCTAATGCCCTTTTGTACGAGATCTCTATCTCAAATAATTCTTTTCCATATCCAAGAACTATTAATTGAACAAGTGGCTTTAAGGAAGGAAGTATGTGAAAAATATTTACTCTTCAGGATTCTAACAAGTAAAGACTCTTTTTCGGTTAAAATTTGCCAAGCAAGATTTGCCAACAATGCTTGATTAAATGACTTTAAATCTCTAATGCCTATTCCCCCTTTAAACTTAGCTAAACACAGATTCTCCCATTTTCAAATTGCATCTTTCTATTATCCTTATCATGCCCTCACAAAAAATTAGAGAAGATAGTCGTAATATCTTTACATATGGAATCCGGAAATTGAAAACATGATAGGGCATTAGATGGAATTGCAGATAAAACAGATTTCAACATCACTTCTTTTCCTACTAGACTTAGAAGTTATTTTTCCATCCTTTTATTTTGAATTTCACCCTATCTTTAATAAACTCTAGCATTTTTATCTTAGATCTTCCAACTATCGCAGGAAGCCCCAGATATAACCCTATGTTATTTCATTGTAGTTGTCCTAACACTTCATTATTACTATCTTTATCAATATCAAAACAATTTTTACTAAAGATAATAGCTGATTTAGTGAAGTTTATCATTTGTCCCAACACTTCTCATAAGTTAATAACATTTCAGAGATTTTTTGAGCGTTTTGGGCTTTACAAAAGATAAATGAGTCATCAGCGAAAAAATAAATGATTAATTGTAGGACTTCCTCTATTTAATCTTAACCCTTGTATATCTCCACATAATTCTGCATGATTTATGAGTCTAGAGAGACCTTCAGCACATAAGAGGAAAAGATATGGAGAAAGTGGATCTCATTGCCTTAATCTTCTAGTAGGTTTCACTCCTCCCGCTATGTCCCCATTAACATTAAATTTATATGTTAGGGTGGTGATGTATTGCATAATCTAATTAATAAAAGTTTCATGGAAACCCATTTTAGCAAGTAATTTTTAAATATAAATTCACTCAACTCGATCATAAGCTTTAGCCATATCTAGCTTAAGGGCCATATATTTTTGTTTCCCACGTCTTTTACTTTTAAGAAGATGAATGAACTCATGTGCTAGAAAAACATTATCTACTATTTGTCGTTTTCCAATAAAAGCAGATTGATTTGGAGATATAATATTGGGTAGGTAGACTTTCAGTCTCTTAACAATAATTTTGTACATTGTAGAGCATAAACTTATGGGTCGAAATTGACTTACATCACTAGGATATTTCACTTTAGGGATCAAAGTTATAAGAGTCTGATTCCAAGAAGGTAGCAGATATCCTAAATTAAATAGTTTTTTACAACTTCATAAATATCAATGGATATAATATTCCAATACCTTTGAAAGAATAAGGGTGTCATTCCGTATGCTCCTGGAGCTTTTAAAGGATGCATATCAAAATCTGCTTACTTAATTTCCTTGTTTGTTATTCCTCTAGTTAGCATATCATTAACCGAATCATCTACCAAGGTAGTAACTAGATTAAGAACGTGATCAAAATCCGTAGGTCGGGAAGTAGGTAATAAATTTTTATAAAATCTTTTTATCTCTATTACAATATCATTATGATCAGAAATCCAACTTCCATCATCTAAAATAAGCCCCTTAATATTAATACACTTACGCCTTTGAATCGTTTGAATATGAAAAAAAAAGTGTTCTTATTGCCTTCCAAAAGCCATAAGGTTCTAGATTTTTGTTTCCAATAAGCTTCTTCATCCTTATACACATGTCCTAATTCTTTGCGAAGCAGCCTTAATTTATTAAGATCAAAATTACTTGGGTCGTTCTTCAAATCATCGATTCTACTTTTAATTCCTTGAATTTTTTTCTTAAAGTTTTTACTACCCCTCGAAGAAAAGCTAATAAATAAGTTCGACAATTCTTTAGTTTAAATATATTATTTTGGATTGTTGATGCCCTACACCAAAGCTATTCCATGATCGATCAATAGTTCTATTTACCTCTTCCTTGTCACTCCAACGCTTATCAAAATAGAACCTTCTCTTTTTTTCCTAAAATTAATCTCTGTGTTCAGTAACAAAGCACTATGATCAGAAGCCTCTGTTTCTATGTGAATTGTATTTGCAAGGCTGAAATCTAATCTCCAAACCGGCGAGCTTATGATTCTATCTAGTCTCTCTTGAATTATACCATCATGTTCTCTAAAGCACTACCAAGTCCATGATTTTCTAGTGAAGCCTAAATTTATTGCTCCTATATCCCATAAAAAGCTTTTAAAATCTCGAAAGGAAAAGATCTCCCTTAATCTATCTCCCAATTTTTCAGATCATTAAAATCCCCTGCCATTACTCATAGCAAACCACACCTAGTTGATCTATATAACAATTCTTGTAATTGATTTCTACGAATAGTTTTATCAGTACTTAAATAAACAAAGATATGCCAATATTTATAATCATCTACCAAGTCATGAATGTATGTTTCAATATAAAAAGATGTTGAATTAGATTGACATACCTGAATATCGTCATTCCTAAATAAGCATAATCTTCATGCTAGTCCAACCGTATCCACCGTTATAGTGTGTCCCATGCAGTTGTCTTTGAATTCTCATTACCATTATTTCTCGATTATTTGTTTCACTTAAGAAGATCATATTCGAGGAGTGGAGACGCATTGTCTCCTTCAGAAAGGGAACTGTCAAGGACCCCCAAGGCCTCGACAATTCCACACCAAAGTCTTCATTGTGAAGTGGGAAGCCATTTGGGGCTGGCTTCCTGATCCACCGCATCTTTTTGTTTCTTAGAACTTTTGTTGTTCATCTGATTATCATCACCTTTACGTTTACCCCCCAAATTTTGATTGCACCCATCAGTAATCTGCACATGAAACAAATTATTTTTTAGATCAATTGTTTCCATTTTCTTGTGACCATTTTGTTTAGCAATAATATTTTTCGAAGTTGGATCATTAGCTATTTTTGTTGTCCCTATTACGGAAGATGCTTACACATTTTTTGAGAAGTAGAGAATACCTGTTGACTTTTAATTAGTGTCCGATTTTGCAGCCTCCTCTTGCATCATTTGGTTGGTAACATTCAGATCTTGTAGTCTTGCTTCTGCCTCTTTTTGTTTATTGAATCATCTTTCGATATCATCATGATCAAACGTATCTCCCAAGTCCATCTTCGCTAACCTATTATATTCTCGTGCTTCTCTGTCTCCTATTGTGTTGGCAAAAACGGGTTCTTCCAGTTCAACGTGCTGCTCCTGATGTACAACATGTTGGGTTTTAGCAAGTGTGAATGAGAAAAGAAAAGAGAAAATATCAAAAGTGAGGGAACTACTTTGGAGAGAAAATGAAAAGTCATTTGCAAAGTGCAAATGAAAAGTCATTTCTTATAAATTTGCAGGTAACGGTAACATTCTGAAAAGTTGTTACTCTTTCCGAAAAGTTGTTACTTTCCAAAAAGTAGTTATTTTCCTAACAGACACAATTTTTTGAAAAGTTGTTATTTTTTCCAAAAGACACAACTTTCTGGATAAAATGGGTCTGAACAGATTTCACTGAACAGACATGTTCCTTGCTGAAAATGGCTATAAAAGGAAGTCAATTTTTGATTTTTTAATCACTGAAAATTTTTCCTTTCTCTGCATTTATTTTTCTCTCAAATAAAATCAAAGTGTCGATAGACTGAGTCTGTGTGACTTGTTGCTGTTTTTCAGTTCATTGAAGGTAAAGAAGTTTGAGGTACCGCTATTTCTTTAACAGGTTTAATCCGTTTTATTTTGGGAGAAATTAATCCATAACCTTAGGTATAGTGTGGGGATAAAATTTCTTAAGGACACACAGTAGTTTCTGTGGACTCGGATTAATTCTTCTGTTTTAAATTTTTTCTGCTTCATCTTGTTTCTATTTCTATTCATTAACTTCATAAATACAAGTTATTGTAAGAATAACAATTTTATAACAATCTTAAGAAATTTAACAGTTTTTGTATTTGAGGTTTCTGGAGATTAAAACCTTTATGGTTGGTTTTCTATTCTGCTTGAATTTTTAAAATTTATTCGATTAACGATTAAAAGAACATAAAAACTTTATCGTTAAATCAGAAACAGTTTGTGTAAAGATTTGTTTTTTATTGTTAATATTTTAAATACTTAATTTATCTGCCATTTGTGACAGAAAAAAATGACTAATTCAAGTCAAACAAATGCTGGAACAGTAAGTGCTGCAACAACAACGGTTGCACATAATTCTTCTGGAGTCGACTTTAAGAGATGACAACAAAAGATGTTCTTCTATCTCACTACGTTGAGACTGCAGAAGTTCATCAATGAAAATGTTCCTGTTATGTCAGATGAAACTCCGGCTGATGAACGATTCTTGGTAATAGAAGCATGGACACACTCAGATTTTTTGTGTAAAAATTATATTTTGAGTGGTCTGCAAGATGATCTGTACAATGTGTATAGCAATGCAAAAACCTCAAAAGAACTATGAGATGCTTTAGAAAAGAAGTACAAAACAGAAGATGCCGAAATGAAGAAATTCATTGTGGCAAAATTTCTGGACTTTAAGATGATAGACATTAAGACTGTCGTCACCCAAGTTCAAGAATGATGCGTTTCAAGTGGCTGTAATTATTGAAAAGTTACCTTCATTGTGGAAAGACTTTAAAAACTACTTGAAACACAAACGCAAGGAGATGACTGTTGAAGATCTCATAGTAAGGTTGAGAATCAAAGAGGATAATAAGGCTGCAGAAAAGAGGTCACGTGGTAATTCATCAATATCTGGAGTAAATTTTGTTGAAGAAGATTCCACAAAATTAAAGAAAAGAAAGAAAGCATCTGGTTCAAAAAGCAATCCTCCTAAGAAGAAATTCAATGGAAACTGCTTTAATTGTGGTAAATATGGTCATAGGGCTAATGAATGCCGGGGTCCTAAGAAGGACAAGAAAAAAAAGGATCAAGCAAACTTGGCTGAATCCAAAGGAGAAATGGACGATCTCTGTGCAATGCTTTCAGAATGTAACTTGGTTGGAAATCCAAGAGAATGGTGGATAGATTCTGGTGCCTCATGTCATGTTTGTGCCAACAAAGAATTATTTTCATCATATACTCCAACACTTACAGATGAAAAATTATTTATGGCAAACTCCGCTGTTGCAAAGGTGGAAGGAACGGGCAAAGTCCTATTAAAGATGACATCAGGCAAGGTGGTGACTTTGAATAGGGTCTCATATGTTCTAGAATTGAGAAAAAATTTAGTTTCAATTCCAGTTCTGACCAAGAATGGATTTAAATGTGTATTTGTTTCCGATAAAGTAGTAGTAAGCAAAAATGATATGTATGTAGGAAAAGGCTACCTTAGTGATGACCTTTTCAAACTCAATGTAATTGCAGTTGATATGAATAAAGATTTTGCTTCTTCTTACTTGCTTGAGTCTAAATGTTTATGGTATGAACGTTTGGGACACGTTAATAACAAAACCTTGCGAAAACTGATTAACTTAAATATTTTGCCAAAATTTGAGTGCAATAAATCAAAATGTCAAATTTGTGTTGAATCTAAGTATGCTAAACATTCTTATAAATCTGTTGAAAGGAATTCAAATCCTTTAGAATTGATTCACACTGATATTTGTGACATGAAGTCAACACCATCACGTGGTGGGAAAAAGTATTTCATAACTTTTATTGACGATTGCACTAGATATTGTCATGTCTATTTGCTAAATAGTAAGGATGAAGCAATAGATGCATTTAGGCAATATAAAACTGAAGTTGAAAATCAGTTAGATAAAAAGATCAAAATGATCAGAAGTGATAGAGGTGGAGAATATGAATCTCCATTTGCAGAAATATGTTTAGAAAATGGAATAATCCATCAAACTACTGCTCCCTACACTCCTCAGTCTAATGGAATTGCAGAAAGAAAAAATCGAACTTTAAAAGAAATGATGAATGCATTACTTATAAGTTCAAGTTTACCACAGAACTTGTGGGGTGAAGCTATCCTTACAGCAAATCAGATACTTAATAGAGTGCCTCACTCAAAGACAAATGTAATTCCATACGAGAAATGGAAAGGTAGAAAAACCCAATTTGAAATATTTCAAAGTGTGGGGGTGTCTAGCCAAAGTCCAAGTTCCTATACCTAAGAGGGTAAAAATAGGACCTAAGACTGTGGATTGTGTATTCATTGGATATGCCACAAACAGTAAGGCATGTCGTTTTTTGGTTCATAAGTCAGAACATCCGGATATTCATGATAATACGGTAATGGAATCAGATAGTGCTGAATTTTTTGAACATATCTATCCGTATAAAACTAGACTTGAGTCATCTAGTGGGGGATCTAAACAACCCAGAGAAGAACCAAAAGAGAATGAGCAAAATGAAGTAAGTCCAAGACAAAGTAAACGTCAAAAGACATCTACTTCATTTGGATCAGATTTTGTAACATTTCTTCTTGAAAGTGAGCCTCAAACATTCTAGGAAGCAATGTTGTCTAGCGACTCAACCTCTTGGAAGGAGGCTGTTAATAGTGAAATTGAATCAATCTTAAGCAATCATACTTGGGAGTTGATTGATCTTCCTCCAAGGAACAAACCGTTGGGTTCAAAATGGATCTTTAAAAGGAAGATGAAATACGATGGAACTATTGACAAATATAAAGCAAGACTTGTTGTCAAAGGTTTTAGACAAAAAGAAGGTCTTGATTATTTTGACACATATTCGCCAGTGACTAGGATTACATCAATTCGGATGTTAATTGCACTAGCTGCAGTATACGGTCTTGAAATTCATCAAATGGATGTGAAAATAACCTTCTTAAATGGAGAGCTTGAAGAGGAAATTTACATAGAACAATCTGAGGGTTTTGTAGTTCCTGGTAAAGAAAAGAAAGTGTGCAAACTTATTAAGTCACTTTATGGGCTAAAACAAGCACCAAAACAATGACATGCAAAGTTTGATCAAACCATGTTGGCAAATGAATTTAAGATCAATGAATGTGATAAATGTGTTTACATTAAAGATACTCCAAATCAGGAAGTTATTTTATACATATATATAGATGATATGCTTATAATGAGCAAAGACATTGCTAATATAAAAGCTACAAAGCGTATGCTTGCTAGTAAGTTTGATATGAAAGATTTAGGATTTGCTGATGTGATATTAGGAATTAAAATTCTTAAAACTCCTAACGGTCTAGCATTGTCTCAAACTCATTATATTCAAAAGATACTTGAAAAATTCAAATTTTTGAATTTTAAAAGGGTAAAGACTCCAATTGATGTAAATCTTCATCTTGCAAAGAATAAAGGCGAAAGTCAGTCTTAATTGGACTATGCTAGCGTATTGGGAAGCTTAATGTATGTCATGAATTGTACACGACCAGACATAGCTTGCGCTATCAGTAAACTGAGTCGATACACAAATAATTCTAATCATAATCATTGGTTAGCAATGAAGAGAGTTTTGGGATACTTGGATGACACTCAAAACTATGCTTTACATTACAACAGATATCCAGCCGTTCTTGAAGGATATAGTGATGCAAATTGGATTACTGGGTCAACTGAAACAAGATCCACAAGTGGATACGTTTTTACTATTGGCGGAGGAGCAATATCTTGGAAATCATCCAAACAAACATGTATAACTCGCTCTACAATGGAGTCTGAATTCATTGCTTTAGACAAGGCAGGTGAAGAAGCTGAATGACTCCGGAATTTCTTAGAAGATATTCCATTTTGGCCCAAACCAATGGCCCCTATATGCATACATTGTGATAGTCAAGCTGCAATAGGAAGGGCTGGAAGCATTATGTATAACGGCAAGTCTCGCCACATAAGACGAATACATAACTCTGTGAGACAACTACTCTCTAGTGGAATTATCACAATTGACTATGTGAAGTCAAAAGATAATGTGTCGGATCCACTTACAAAAGGCCTAAATAGAGAGGGAGTTGAGAAATCATCGACGGGAATGAGACTATGGCCGAGAACAAGTCATCGTGGCGGTAACTCTACCTAGAAGACTGGAGATCCCAAGATCTAGGTTCAAGGAGATAAAACAAAGTCATTGATGACGGTTCAACATTGTCAAAGGAAAAATAAAATAAAATATTATTATTATTTTATGGTCCATTCTCATGATGAGACAATGTTTAGTAACTAGGATAAAGACATAAGGACTTTTTAATGGTTTCTAAGTTTGATACAAGGAATATCAAATGGTGTATCTATGGGATAACACATTTAGAAATCACCTATGTAAGTGTTACTGCCTACTCCTTACGATATTCAATGTAGTGGTATGTTCCAGACTTGGAGCCAAATCTCACATATATTAAATATGTAAGACTTAGTATGGAGTTCTGGTTGCCATTGTGTTCCAGAGGTTTTAACCAAACTAAGTCTTTCTAAAATGTATTCCACAGAAACGTTTTAGGATATATTTTATTTTTTAAAACTTAAAATAACGTTCTAGAAGTAAAACGTTACTTACAATAACGTATATCAACCTAATGCTGTTATTTTTTTAAAAAAGAATATACCCTAAAACGTTACCGTGAAATACGTTTATACTAGTTTTGTAAAATTTTAGAAAAATGTATTACTTTGGTAAATTGTTTTATATAATGACTTAGTTTGGTTAAAAATTCTTGTGTTCCATACAACACTTTTTTTATGTCATCTTTGTATCGAAAAACAAACTGAAAGAGATTCCTCCCAACAAGTAAGACTTTAAGTCCTACAGGACTTCCCCAAACCAACGTCATTGTATTTTTCACCCCTAACACACTAACTTGTTTGTCTGCTATCACCTTTCCGAGAAGACTTACTTCACAATTTTCCATGCTCGACATGATATCTTGAACATCAATCTCAATTGAGTCCTTTTCCTCCTCCGTAAGAATAAACTTGTGAAGTCGATCGGTAATGTCGTTGGCCATCCTAAGAGCATTGTGCACGTAAGTTGAAAATTTGTTTATATGAGTTTTGCATAATTTGGTTTGTATGAGAATTATAAAGCAACAAGGGAAAAACAGAGTCGAGATTGAACTAAAGGGATTAAACTTGGCAGTTTACTGTTTTTTTTTTTGAATGAAAGTTGGTGAACATGGATAATTAATGGGAAACGTGAATAGTTATCTTCTTGTTTGTATGTAATAGGCATATATGCAGCCCCCACTTTAAGGAGAAAAGAACTCTCACGTAGAGAGTTTTTTGTAATATGTATGTTCATGTCCACTAGCGAATAAGTGAAAAACTCAAGATCTACAATTATTTTTAAAAAAATTAATCTAATATATATATTTTATAAATGAGAAAATGAGAAATACTTTAGATATATTTTGTGGATCACGACTCACATAAAGGGTAAAGTAATTGAGAAGAAATAAATTTGAAAATTACTCTTGGAGTAATAAAATTAAAATTTACTAATATAATAGTAAATCAGAAATTTACTAAAGCAAAAGGCACATGGTGTAGTAAACTTGGAGTTTATGAGTACTAATAATTTTATTAGTTGGCATGAATAATTTGGTCATCCCAAAGATGTGCATACTGAGTAATGGACATACAGTGAAAAACTAGAACATTCTTCAAGAATTCTTTGCGTTGCTTGTTCTCGTGATAAAGTTGATTGGATCAACTAAAGTTAGGACTAAATCCCTAAATTCTGAAAAGTATAAAAGGTGAATATGGGTCCGTTCACCTATCATGTGATATGATAAAAATATGCATTTATAAGATAATCACATGTGCGTTTGTTGTCAACATGTAGTTTGACATTCACGAAATTGTTTGCGCAAAAATAATTCAGTTAAGATCACAGTTTCAGAATATGTAATCAAGACAATTTATCATGATAATATTGATAAATACTCAAGATGGTGTGACACTAAATGTCTCAAATAGTAAAATCATTGTTTATGAAAATAAAGCTTCATATGTTGATATGAAATACGATATTACATACAAAAGTAATTGTACGTATCAGACCGATAAATTATGATCAAATTTTCTTTCAATTAATTTATGGTCGGGGACTAAATATTTTTCATTTGATTATTTTGATATGTGGTATAAGCAATGAATATACATTGATGCACAAGGATAGACTCTCCAAATATTGAGATATATGTTAGTTTATCTAACATAAAGGGGAGATCAGAAGCAACACAAGAGTTGTAAAAACTCTTATTGAATGTCCTTTAAGGATAGAGTCTACGAAATGCATGAAATATAATAGATTAACCAATTCTAAATAAAATAATCCTTGAAAAAAGGGATGGGATCAAAGAATCAAAATTATCATAATAAGATAATGTGCTCTTGGGGAGCCTACAACATAACACTTTATGAAACCTGATGAAATCTCAATAAGTTTTGTCGTATTGTAAATCGATACAAAATGGTATATCGTTGACGATATCTTGGATACAATAGCGCGCGATAATGTAAAAGATTATGAATATATGAATTCTACATCTATTAAAGCATGTTTGTGTAGAAATAATTTTCAAGTGAAAAGTGGAATGATGCATCTTGCTAAGCGTAAAATTATTTGACTTGCAATCTAGGCACTAGAAGATGTCATACATCTAATATTGAATGTTGTCACTTGACAAAACTAATATGAAAATATCCAATGGGTTCGAAATCTAGCATATATAAGGTTTTGAAAAACTTGTTTATCATCCTCATAAGGATTGAATAGATTCAAAATGCATAGAACATATACAAGTATTGTTATGCAAGTTGATAACTATAATTGAAACTCTTGAAGAGTTTTCTAAAGACAACAAATTATTTGCTTAAAGAAGTTAAAGTAAGGAACTTGGAGAAATCTTTAACCCTGAAAGGAAGATTCATAAAAAGGAGATAGAAGAAAGCATATTTCGTCAATGTTTTTCTACATTCATGAGCTCCCAAAAATGGTGATATCAACATGCAAAAGGTCTGTTTATTATTGTTGATTTATTCACCAAGTCTCTATCAACTACAACTTTCAAGAAGATGGTGCATAAGCTTGAAAAACGAAGATTCTAGTCTCTGAATTGATGTTGTCTTTAAGGGAGTGAATACGCGATGTACTCTTTTTTCCTCACAAGGTTTTGTCCCACTGGGTTTTCCTTGTAAGGTTTTTAATAGTGCATCCATAATGCGTATTATTAGATACATGTACTCTTTTTCCTTCACTAGATATTTTCCCCACTGGGTTTTATCTAGTAAGGTTTTAACGAGGCATATAATCTACCGATATTCAAGGGGGAGTGTTATAAACAATTTGTATTATAGTGAATATCTAATTATGTGAATTCCTTGTAGGATATGGTTAGGAATCCTACTTAAGGACCAAGTAAGGTTTTCCCTATAAATAAAGGGTCTTCCTTCATTGTAAATAAGATTTGTGTAAAATCTATGAATTCTGAATATACTTCAAGAGAAATAAGAAGTCTTTTCACTTTTTCCTACTTACTTCTTCTTTTAAATTTATATAGTTTAATAACAGAATGTATTTTTTATAATTTAATATCTTAAGATTTGCTATCTCTTATATTATAATATAATAATTTTTATTCAAGTGTAACCGACCAAGATAACTTGTTTCCAATTGAAACTATATGAATTTGAGTAAAAAATCCGTCTAAGTTCACTTTTTGTCCATTGTTTCTTATTTGGTGACAAATTATTTCATAGACTTCATGACGTGTTGCCACTTAATGATGAAGTTAAGGTATTGTTAATTCTAAAATCTAACAAAAATTAATATATGTTTCGTGTAGGCTTGGGTTTGAGAGTGTCAAACCGCCCAAACTCATATGAATGTGAAAAATGACTATAGTAAAATCTATTATTGATGTCATACTCTTTATTAATTAAAATAAATTGATTTGGTGGTTGAAGCAATTTTATGAGTAATATGACACACAAGTCATACATATATGTTGTGTATGTCCTATTAGTATCACCGTACATACAATTGTTTATATCATTGTATGTCGTCTTGTGTGTATGTATGAAACTAGAAAATATGTATGTATGTGTATATATAATTTTAAAAAATAATCTTTCTATAATCTATTATTAGGGGCATTATTTAATAGTGCTATTTAAGAAAATTTCTCTAAATGTATAAATCTAGCATCAGCATTGCGATCGTCATAAACCATGCACCCATCCACACAATAAAAGGGAAGATGCAAATTTAAAAAAGGCAATTTTCCAGGTAATTATGGACGTATTTTTTAATTAAAAAGTGACTACCAGGATTTACTAATATATTTTATTTGAAAAATCAAAATGTCTGACCTATTAATGCATGCGTATGAACCATACAGTAGAAATGTCAAAGCAGAAAAAAAAAGAAAGACTTTCTTGGCAATATTGACTTAATTTAAAGAGATATAATTTATTAATTTACAAGTAATCTTAAATTGACTTGACGTGTCGCCAATTAAGCAACTATCATTGTTATTTGCTTTATTCAGAAAATGAATTAATTACTAGCTTTCATTTCTTCATTTCTTATATAATAGTTCAAAATGGATAGTGCATTATTACATTAATTACATATCTCTTTTGTGAATGAATTGAAAAAAAACACTTCATTAACATAAATTATTTGTACATCGTCGCTTCAATCAAATTAACCTCATTTGATTCATCTTCATATGAACCATAATTATGTCTCTACAACTTCGAACAAACGACTACAACTTCGCCACCCGATCATGATCTTACCACCGGCACCTCCGTGGAGCTGTTGCTAGGCTCGATCTCCAAAAATTTCTATATTTTAGTATTGAAGCTATCTTATCTCGGTGGATCGTATCAGTAAGACTAAACTCATCTCTAAGATGAACTTTCTAGAAGTGGTGGTCCAGGTAGAAAACCGTGGCACCACTGCTGTCTATCTTAAGGAGAGTTTCCTTCATGCACTTCCAGGACGATACGGACTTGTGATCCGAATCGCCCCGTTGAGCACAAAGGTTATCGCGGCGCATACCTTCTTTGCCCGCAATAAGTCCTTTGGTAGGCCCTCTACCGTTGAGGTTCATATAAACGGGAAATTTATTCAGCGATTGACTCCACAGACGTTCGTATATTTCCCAAAGATCATCGTCGTTGACAATGGTTTTACTGATGGAGACGGATCAATCATCCGTGTGATTCATCCCCAACCATCTCTTCAGCTCTCTCGTCTAAGGTATGAACAAGTTTTATTATTGATACATATACTAGGGGTGGCTCTACAGCGCAAAGAAAAGGTAGTTATTAAATCAACTTGTTTTACCCATTCCCTCCGCTTTGAGTTATATTGTTTTTCTATAGTATATAACATAAAATATACTATCATTTTCGTGTTGATAACTTAATAATTTATTCATCTTGTTTATTATGATTAGGGTTTTCAACTTTCTTGCTATGGGATTCAAAGAAAGAAAGGAGGTGTGGATTGTGAAGAAGTAATAGGACTCAGTCACATGCAGGCTGTGGCTGAAAAATGAAACAGCATTTTGTTTCTTAATTATTGTTATGGAGGATGTGTGCGCTTCTTTTTAATTTCTTCATTTGTTTTATGATAAACAATACAGGTGGTTTTCGTCTGTTTTGAATTTTTTTAAAACCGCAAGTCTTGGATTTGTTCTTTTACAATTTGCTCGGATCATTGTTATCTATTGTTTCATGATGTATAGTATTGTATTGTACTTACTGTATGGTAGATATAATGTTTGGATAGATTATATTGTTTGCGGTTGTTTAATACTACCTCTGTCCCATTTTATGTGACACTTTTCATTTTTTCGAGAGTCAAACAGTTTAACTTTGACCGGACATTTGCGTATGAAATTTTCAATTTTTTTGAAATAAAATTTATGTATTTGTAAACTACATAAAGAGTACTATAAGTCACAGTAATTGATAATTGAAAATATTAAAAAGATCTATGAAAAACTTACGGTCAAATATAGACTTGTTTGAATCTCGAAATGCGAAGTGTCACATAAAATGGAATGGCGGGAGTAACATTTTTATTGTTCGGTTTGATTGTATCGTACCTTATTGTAATCTATAAGTCTACTAAAATATTCTTAATTATTCTAGGATGAGGTTTAACTAAAATTAAATAATATAGGCAAAAGGACAAAATAGTAATATGAAATATTATGTAAGGATATAATTGGAAAAAAATTAAGTAACAAGGGGAACATCCGAAATTGAACAATATAATACAATATTTTAAGTAATAATCAAAACAAATATTGTAAGTATGATAACGGTACAATACAATGGTGAATAATGATATAACAAAGTGTTAAAGATACGATAGTTTTGTTTTGTTTTGAATTTCTTATCTGTTTCAAAGAATGACCTAATTTTCTTTTTAGTCTATTTCAAAAATAACAATTCATTTATTATTTTTGGCAACACTTCAACTTTAACTTTCCACATGATGTGTTTATGACCACAATATTAAATGACATTTTGATATATTTGACATAATTTTAATTTAGAACTACAAGATTAAATTTTTTTTTTCTTAAAATCCCTTCTAAATTAAATTAGACTATTCTTTTTTAGACGAAAAAAGTATAACTTTTGTATTTTATTTGGGATGGAAATAGTCATTATTGACTCTGGCAAGAATGGAAGTTGCTATTTATTCAACAACTTCATGAAGGTGCAAAACGACATTTCCTCATGGATAAGAGACAGACACTTCGCAAAAGAAGTTTTTAGTCGCATTTAATTTCTTTTTTAGCGACAATATTTAATGTCATAAATATATTTATTGATATTTGATTAAATGTTATTGAATCAAAAATTATTTTTATTTCGAGTATCAATAAAGACTCTTATTATTACTTTTGGCTATTGCCATTAAAGTCACCTTAGAAACAAACATATTTGTGGCTTTTGCTATAGCCAACAAAGATAATAATCGTCACTAAATTATTGTAACGCCTTAAAACTGATCATAAATTCACCGTAATTGACATATTTAACCCCTTTTATAACATTACAAATAAAATTTACAAGAGAAATAAGTTCGAAGGTAATAAAAGAAATACCAAACACAACAATGTCATTCACTTAAAATAAAATCAAAAAATCTTTATTATATTCACTTTCTTATCTCGTTAGGGATAAAAGAAACTATGAATTATCAAAATAGAAAAAAAAATATGTTCAAACAATAGAGAAAATAAAGCCACTGTTTTTTTCCCAAATGCAAAATGTGCAGCTTCTTGGATCAGTCTGTCATTCTTTGAACAATAAATTCATATGACAATTATATATCTCACTCACTAAGACCAGGTGACTAAAATTTGATGAAATAGAGAAGAAAATGGCAATCCAACACTAGATTAATGAAGCAGCTCCGAGGAGAAAAAAAGATGAATTTTGTAAGATAATGATGAACTTAGTAATAACATAGCAGTAAAATGCTTGAATAAGGATCCAAATATCTTTTGTCAAACTTCATCTTATGTTCCCACCATTTATCGTATCTCTTTTACTTATTATACTTTGTTCCCTTTCTTCTTATTAGACGGTGAGTTCCGAGTGCAACCTAACACTAGCAATAAGTACCGAATGATGTATTGTCCCGGACCTATTGTAATTTAAGTCCTGATCGATCCATTCCACATCATTGACTTAATACGACCATATTTGAATAATGACACATCAAAAGTATATCATAGTAAATGGAAAAATCTAGAATCATCTCCTTGAGTACCTTAGAAATATGTATTAGACTGTTATTGAATCTCACATATACAAACAGTTCAAAATAGATTCCAAATAACAAAGACTAGTTATATTTTAGAAGAAAAAGAACATTTCTATACAGTAGTACCATGAACTTTTGTAGGCGAAATTTTATTTTCCTAATCAAATAAAATGAACATTTCTATACAGTAGTATCTGATTTGTATGCATTACCCATTACCTCATCTCAGAAAAGAAACAAGAAAAAGAAAGAGGGCACTTTCAATAAAATAAAAATGACAGACAATACAGAGTTGTTAGATGGTAAGCACTCTTCACTTTCAACCTCAAGGTTGTGAGTTCGATTCCCAAAAAAGCATAATATGTCAACTCTTGGCCAGGAGATAAAAAAATACAGATGCAAGATAACATGTGTATCATAGGAAAATTATTATAATGATAAATTTATAACTAGTTAAGAACAAAATAACTTTTTCTATATAAAATATAGTCATTAGTGACGAAATTAGATTTTGTTCAACTACAAAACATATATTACTTTAGAGAAAATTGAGTCACAGATTGAAGTAAATTAATTAGCGATGATATCATTTTGTCGATAGTAATAACATTTTTAGTGACAAAGCATACGATTTAACTACAAAAAAAAAAACTTTTTTACGACAAATAAATTTGTCACAAATGTTTAAGTATTTAGGGACGATTTTTCTTTTTATAGTTAAAATAATACTTTTAGCGATGAAGCACTAAATAGTCTTTGTATAATTTTAGAGACACACATTTAGTGATGTCTGAGTGACGAAAAAAATTTGTCACAAAATTTTTAGTAATGAAATATGATTTATAAATGACGAAATAATTTATCCCTGATAATTAAATTTCTTGTAATGATTGTCCTAAGTTTACGGTACAATATTCTCATATACAACTTTTTCTATTTTTGATACAATTGATACATACTGCATTCATTCATGATTACTGTATAAATTAGATAGCTTTTGGTACAACTTGTTAAAGTTGTGTTGGTACATTCGACTCTTAATTCTAATTATGAGTAATATATGTAGAGAGTGTTCTAGCGTCAATCATATTAAGATATACGAGTTATGCATATTTCAACTTTTATGTTACTCTATTTGTGACATTTAATTTTCATCATCACTATATAGCTATGCAGAACATCTTAAAATTGATAACAAATCGAAAATATAGATGTTGGATCGTGCTAAGCACGAGCCTTTTATATACCAACACTTAAACAAGTACAATACCAAAATCCAACACAAACTAAGAGATAAGAGAATAAATCTAATTGGACTATACATATTGTTGCAAACATCATTCGTCTTCATTTATTAATTACTACTTCCTCCGTCCAGAAACGTTTATCATGCCACGCTTATTGAAAGTCAATTTAACTAATTTTTAAAGGTAAATTAGATCACATTAATTCAATAGTTTAAACAAAAAAAATTAGATATTCTGAAACTATATGAAAAGTACTATAAATTAAAAAAAAGAATCATATTAATATGATGAAAAAATGTATCCTAAAATGTCAGTCAAAGTTTTTATAGTTTGAATCTAAATATAGAAACCATGACAAACAATACCAGACGGAGAGAGTAGTACAATTAATTTTAATTTAATCCATCCATTTTACACCCCTTTAAAATGAAGTAAATTACTTCATTTATTTCAAAAATAACTGATGTTTTTAGTTCGGATACATCCCTCAAGAAACTACTCATAGCTAAAATTTAAGGAGTGTTTTTACTAACTTACCCCTAATAAAAAAAATATAATTAATGGTTCTTGATTATGTAAACAAGCATAATTTTGGATGAATAAAATCAATTCCTTCTTGAAACTCTAAAACACTAGTTATTTTGAAATAAAATAAATAAGCTAAATCACCGGTTATTTTTTAATTTGATAGAATATGTGTTTTTTGGCTTATAGGAACCCGAAAATAATATAGGTTTCGAATTAATTAATACATGTTTTTTCACAACCTATAGCAAGCTGAACTCATGGAGACTTGGGTGTATTTGATACGAAGAAAAATATTTTTTAATTTTTTTCATGTTTAATTGATTTAAATATTTAAAAAATATTTTTTAAATCAACTTATTTTCCTTCAATTTAAAGAGAATGACTTTTCTTTCAAAATTAAGGAAAACATTTTCAAAACTGTACCCATTCTTTAATGGGCAACTTTCACATATAGCAAACAAAAAATTAATATTTGTATGCTATAGCAAACTTTGCATAATTGCGCTCCATAGCAAACATAAAACTGTATAATTTGCTATACATATACAATTGTATAATTCGCTGGCGTAAATTGTATGATTCGCTGGCCTATTTCGCTGCAATTGTATAATTTGTTTTGCATACAGTTGAATCTAATTAAAATGTATGTATATTGCATAATTACAAGTGTATATCAAGAAGATATATGTTTTTCTCGCTTTATATAAAAACAGAAACACAATATATACACTTCTGTTGTATAAAGCTAGAGAAAATTGTATTTCACTGCAATTGTATAATTCGTTGGCCTTTTTCTCTGCAATATTTGAATTAAAATGTTTGTAAATTGTATAATTAAGTGTATAACACGAAAATATACATTTTTGCATTTGTATATACAATTTTCTCTCGCTTTATACAAAACAGAAACAGAATTATACACTTCTGTGTATAAAGCGAGAGAGGCGAGCAAGAATGGAGAGTGGCGAGCGAGATTTTTGGGAGAGAGACGCTGGCAAATTTTAGCTAATGTTTGCTATGGAGCACAATTAAATCAAACCCCAGCTATTTCATTTAATTTAGGTTATTAGTTTGCTATTATATACAATTTTCTCTTCTTTAATTATTTAAAATAACTTAAATACACAACTATAAGTTTAATATTCTTTAATTTTCCCTTCTTTTTTTAAATATTACATAATTCTTTTTTTTTAATTTTAGTAGAAGTTTAGAGATACATAACCTTCTCTCTCCTATAACACACGCTTCCCCAATAT